AAAAACACAGATAATTTTATACCTTTCATGGCCCTGAGCCAATCGCACTAACATTGTCAAACCCAGCCTGGTTTTGTGTCGTTTCGCATGTCCATCACGCCCGTCGCTTCCGTTCTCGTTCCAATGCTGCATCCCAAAAGCATCATCGGAGTCCGCTCGACCGAGAGAAGTCGAGACCGCTCTTAACCATCTTCTGCGCAAACTGGTGAGGCTGCTGAGTCCGGACGATCCGTTACTCTCCAACGATTGCGAACCTGGATCAGCATCGCGTGAGCTACGATGCACTTCCGACAATCAATCATTCTAATCGTTGGCATGAACTTACTGCCCGTCGGCGGAGCTATGTCTATGTCCCAGCCGCTGCCAATACTCGAGCACGTCGAACTCTTTCGCGGACCCACGTGCGAATCGTTACTTGACAAATTGCCAGAGCTCGGCCGCGACTCTGCAATGGAAACCTAATCAGGATTTATTCTGACGCTTTGAGAACTCTTTCAAGAGATATTTGTCATATTTGATTCATTACACTGTAGAACAAAATTCAACCTTTTTTGCTACACAAGTGTGAATAGTTATTTCCACTGTATTTTTGTCTGCTAAACACATTGGCAAAAGATAGTTGGCAGAAATTAGCATGTCAAAATTTTGAGAAAAATGGCGATTTTCAAAAGGGATCAAAAGGGATCACATTTTTAGCCTCTTTCACGCCCATTTTTTTCAAACTTTGACGTGATAGCTAACTTTTGCCAATAAATTTATATTCAGCATACAAAAATACGTCGAAAATGAAACTATTCATGATGTTGCAAAATGATTCCTTAGTGTTATTTTAATTGTCACATCTAAAATTAAATACATTATTGTAAAAAAGAAAATTTAGAATATAAATCCGAGCTTTTCTTTATAAAAAATTAATTTTCCTTATATGGTGTATTTATACACCATATAATCGATATATAATCGAGAATCTGTTGAAAAAGTTATTAATAAGAAGAGTTAATTTTTGCTATACGAAAATAACAATATCGTCGGTATACTTACGAAATGATCGTATACTAGTATTGCTGGAAGTAGAATCCATGTGCGTGGACCGTCCTAATCCTTCATCCAAGACTTTTTCACTGTAGTATAATAAAACGATTAGTAAAATTAATCAATAGTAGAAAAGATCATTGAAGAAATAGTTTACCTTGTCTTGCACATGCCATGTTCTGTCGCCGGAAAGATTTTTGTGCACATGATGCACGGAGGAGAATTCATCGAGTGAACCTTCAAATCAAATATATCAATGATATTAAAATACATCTGTGCATAAATATTTCCGAAAATAAAATTTTAAGAGTAATTATTTTAGACTTATACCTTAAACAATGATCCTCTGTACGTCATTGCCACGGTGCCAAACACCATTTCGCTTAGGAGACTCACGTCATCTTCGACAGTTTTATCTCGCTGAAAATTTTAGACTACATTTCGTTAACGTAATACGTATATGTAATATTTGTGGACGGATGCGAGTGTCGACTAAGACTGTGTTCCGATATACACTACCAACACTGGCAGTACTAAAGAATTGTTCCGTTATTAGCGTGCTGCAGCACGCATCTAGTTCTATTCCATCAATGACATAAATGGTAGCCATATGTCCATATTGCCACTGCGACTACTGCAGCTCTCGAGTCGAGGTGAGCCAGTTACAGTGGTTACAGTGCAATATGACGTCGAATAAAGAAGCGCAAAAAATATTTATTAGAGCTAGAAACAAACCAGTTCTTCGAAAGAACTATCACTGCTGCTTTCTTGTTGAAAATCTCTAATACTATTATTAGGCATATTGACTATAGAGATGCACCGGATCGTAAAATTATCAGATACCAGATATTGGATATTCGGTCAAAGAAAATAATGTGTAACACTAAATATCCGATATTCAGTCGGATATCCGGTAAGGCAATTATCCGGCTGGATATTTTCCATACATCAAATACAAATTCCCCATAATTCTAAAAGAAAAAGAGAAAGCAAGCGAAAAATAGCGATAATAATTAATCGGCCGTGAAAGGATTGTTTGCAACACTGACGTCAATATTAAAATTTATTAATATTAATAAATTTTTCACACATGGACAATAACATTTTTCGTGGACAATAGCATTTTCCGGTAATAATATATTTCGATTATCGACATAAACCACCATAATTGTGCAAAATCATAGTGTGTAAGATTAGCAGAAAAAAATAGAATTCTGCATCAATGACGCCAATTTTCAGTATATAAAATTTCAGCCAGTTATATATGTATATTGCCAGATATTAATGATATCCAGATAGTACAAAGTACCGGATACTGGATATTTTCCGGATATCCGGTGTATCCCTAACATTGACATTTTGATTTAATACATTTATAATAAATACGATGTCTGTAGAAGCATACATATTGTGACAACAAAAAATTGTAAAATTTAGGATATTACTATTATTATTATTATTATTGTTATTGTTATTGTTATTATTATTATTATATGATGTTAGATATTATATTTAATTATGTTTATGTTTATAATCCATTTAATAGATATAATAATTCGATTTAATGGTTTAATTTGATGGCTTGATTTATTAATATGTAAAACTTGATGATTACCTCGAAATCGTGAGTAGTCCTTATGTTAAAGGGCATCTCGCATTTTCCCTCTGCATTGTTGTTCATTGCAGTGCACATAGTTTCGTTTTTACTTCGGTGTTTCTGGACTGTCATCGAATCAAACAGAAGTTTTCTACCGCGCCATTCGCATTCTCGAAATAGCAAAATTCGCACTTGATTCGTTCCAACTTGCAACACGGAATTCCTGTAACTTAATAGAATGCATCGTTTGAAAGCTCTTTTAGCATGCAAGATGTTTAAAATAAATAAAATAAAAATGAAGTAATAATTAGTGTATAGACTCTTTCACATCTGACTTTTTAAAAATAAAAAACATCTAATTCATTTACGTCTAAAAGTTTTGTAATTATTAAATATAAAAATTTTGGATTAAAGCAATGAATTAAAAATATTGAACGCAAAAAGAATAAAATATTTTTTAATATTTAATAAATTTGTTACAAAATTTTTAGGACCGCTAAATACAAAAATAAAAAACATTTAAAAATAAAAAGGTCTAAAATATGGCGAACTTTCAATATGGTGAATGCAGAAAGTAAAATGTTTTTAAATTCTAGTGCAAGTTTGAATTAAAACATTTTCATCGGGATTATAATTTTTATATTATTTATTTTATTACTATTTTATTAAATCTTGAGTAAAATTATTCATTTAAATAATAATTTGTATAGATTTTGCTTATGTTAAATTGAAATAAAAAAAATAATGATCAAATAATGTAATGTAAGCTGGAGTAAGTCAATGTATGTTGTACATACAGCATAAAAATTGATTCAACTTGCATGAAAATGAAAAAAAAAATTTGATGAAGCTTTTATAATATCTTCCCCTGAAATGGAGAAGCTTTGAAACGCTTCGTCGACGCGCGATCGCTTCTCGACGTTGTGTTGGTAAAACAGCCGCAGACGCGGCGGTGAGAACGGAGCCAAGTAATCGCAATGAAGTAGGTTAGGGAAACAGCCTAAGCGTCAATCTTTATTATAAAATTCCAAGTTTTCGATAAGGCCCCTGATAATTCAACGCCATTACAATTTTTCTTTCATCATCCTGGCGATACAAAGAGAAATGTATTTCGTTCCGCTTTCTTCCCAAAGCGTGAAATTCTGCCTTTATCTCTGGCGCTAATACAGAATAGTAATGCGATTTATGCGATTGACAAAAGATCGATATGATAGTTGCATACGCATAGCGGTAACAATGAACGGATGCTGGGCGAGCCACTTCGGAGGAGGGATCCACCACACGAACGATACGGAGCGAAAACGCGCTCCGAAGTCCGAAATGGAACAGCGCAATCTCGCTTGCTCACCTATCATTCCTAGTTGTTCGTGCACTGGACACTAGGCTCTCGGCACTCTCGCGCGGACTGCTCTTCCTCGCAGGTAGTAGCTTATCGAGCAACGGCATCATAAAGCCACGGCCCGCCGTCTATATTAATTATCGCATCGTCTCGCGGAGCAAACCTGCATCTATCATGTCACGCGGAACTGCACCATACATGTTCGCGCGGGTTAAGTCTCTTACTCCTCTTACTGTAAATAAAGTCACGTGCGGAGGAGTCATATGATTGCCCGAGATAATAGCTCAGCGTCGCTGGGGCGGATAGCACGATCGAGGCCACTTTTTGGCCGCAACTTCATGAAATGACCTCCTGCCAAGAGCCTTTCAAATCAAGCTCATTATTCATACAGTTTTTATCAGGATTTTCCCTAATATCCGTCATATAACATTTTTTCCTCCATACGTACAGATCGATTTTCCCAAAGAGAATTGTATGTCTCATGAGAATTCATGGACTACCGACCAACGGCTTTTGTTGAATCATCAGTAGATCCCGCAAGATGGAGCTAGACATCCCGTTACATTGCACCAATTGCCAATAAAGTAAGCGGTCTCTTCGAAATTGTTCGAAATCTTCGAAATCACGACAGACCCGCTGATATATCTATATCGATGTATTCGTGTTGCGTATTTAAAGGTCTATTCTTTCTCCACTCCAAATCTTTCTCACTCCAGTTCTGAACTAGTATGCACTGGTGCAATAAGTTAGAGTGATAACAGATATAGTTCGTTTTGCATTAATTCAGAACTAGTATAGAACTCTTCAAAAAAGAATAGGCTTTTAAGGTTCAATGATACTATAGTATCAGTTATTATTTTGGTCTATGATGTCAGAAGGGAAGATTTCCGCAAATTATCTATGTAATTGTCTATAAATGATATTTCATTAACAAAATCCCTCTAATGTTTAATAATTAATAGGCATCAATATTTTTAGAATAAAAACAATATCGAGCCAATTGATTTAATATAATATAAATTAAATGTGCACGTACAATTAAAATAGCTTGCTGCATTTTCAAATCGTGTTTTATTTTGTAGACACCATCTATGTTTGCATTCAAATATTCTCATAGCAAATGCAGGTTGTGTATGTAAGTCTCAAAATAATAATTCAATTATTACATAATTATACTTATTACAATGAAATAATTAGTTATAGAAGACACAATTTTCGAGTAGTTTTCATTCTTAATACTTTCTTGTAGAGGTTGATGTCGAAAAACATACGAATATCACGTCAAATAGGCATATGAAATAACGTGCAATATCTGCAAAATCACATTTCACATATGAATTTCAATCGATTCACTTCATCGTTCACGCCACGTCAAAATAGAACGTCGTCGTTGACATTTCTGAGCATTTTGTTGGCCAATATGAGGCGATGAACGTACTCGGCATTCTCAACATCCGTACGAGATACCTCAAAGGCTTTCTTAATATAATTCTTATTGGACAACGACAAATAAACTGGAAACTCGATGTTGAACCTCAGTATTAGATCACCCTTTTGCTTCGGATTTGCAGGAAATGGCATTCCCTCACCCAGCACACATTTGGTGTAATCTGGTCTAAAATAAGATGTAATATGTAAAAGGTAAGCGAAAATTTAGATAACATTCATAAAAAGTTGTTAACTTTAATTCTGTAAATTAAAAAAAAATAGAATTAATCGCGAAATTGAGTAATATTAATAAGTATTAATGATATCTGGGACGATTTTGGGTAATCTTTCATACAGAATTACTCAAAACCTTTGGAAATTTAGGACAAATTAAAATAAAAGATAATGCAATATAATGCAATCGAGAGAGAAATGAAAGAGACTTGATGCAATTTTGTAACAGCTTTCCGTACGTAACGATCGATGTTATTGGAATCCGAAGAGTTCTGTCATCGATGGTGTTAAGCGTGATCACTGTTCCGATCAGCGCCTCCCTCAGAAAGATATCGACCGTCGTGTGCAAGTCCGAGCCCTCTCGCCGGAACATTTCGTGAGGACGATCCTCCGTGACGAAGATAACGTCCGCTACGCTGACAGTGTCTTGGACTTAGTGAAGATATCACCCCATCTTGTGTGTATTACAATTAATCTTTAACCTTTATTCTACGGAACCCGCATTTTCACGTGACGATAGTCGTAAATTGATCAGTCGTCTCGTCTTTGATTGTATCATCATCAATTACGCGAATCTATTTCATTGTAACTTTATATTATTATTTATCATTACCTTATTAATTTATTGTAAAAAGAAATACATTATATGGAAAATATGTCTAATTATTTTTTGTCATTTATGAAGGGATAAAATTTATAATACAAGGGTTAAACTTTTAACTTAAGGGGATGCTGGAGTGACGGTCGAAGTTAATCAAAGTCGATAGTACAGACTTTTTTACATT